AGAATACTGCCCTAAATCACCCAAGCACACCACATGTTAGAAACAAACCATTCTTATAGCCTAGGTCTCATGGAAATGATTCACGATATGCAACCAGCTCTTGGATAGTTAGTCTTGTCCTTTTTGTTGTTTCTTCATTCAACTTTTTTCCCCTTTGCTCATCCGATTGCCGTGCCCATCCCTCCCCTGCAATTTCTTCAGTGAAAACCACAATAAAGACTTTGCCCATGCTTCCCCCCCCCCCTTCTGCCTTCTGATCTACTCTGGTGCTTGTGTGTCCCTTATTACTCTAAGTAATAAACTTTTCTTTCAAAGGCAGTTGCCTCATGTATGTTATCTTACCATGTCTGATTAAAACAAATCCCTGGTAGATATTAAAACACTGTGAAGAAGATAGTTGAGCAGCAGCACGTAGTATCAGAGTCCTAAGTCTTCTCTTATGAAGAACTTGGTTTCCCAAGACAGATCCTTTGTATTTTGACTGTCTTCCCCTCTTAGGGAAGTTCCTTGCAGAAGTTCCCATCAATGGTACTATTCCTCATTTTTATAATAAAACCTTAGTCCTGGTACTAGGTAGAGGTTATTGACCATGGGGTTCAAAGTCCCTTTCATTCCTTGTTTCAGGGGATGTTCAAGGGAAGGTAAAGCTCTCTGTATCTACTAGAATCTTGGAGGTCAACAAATAGATCAAAATTCTAAGAGGACTCTAACTTCTTCCTTTTATTTATGAGACAAAATACCTATATCTGTAGATTGTGGTTGTTCTACCAAGTCCTTAAACAGTTGTGGAATTTTTGAATCATAAAGGACTCCAGGAGTTATCTAGTCTAGTCTCTTCCTCTATTAGTCTTTTCCCTTTTTTATTGTTTTTTCATCCAACTTTCTTTCCCATAGATATATCCCTCTACAGTCTCTTACACTAATTACCCAATGAAACTACTTGAATGCTAACTGTGTGTTCCACGGCCTAGGGGACCAAGCTTGCTATCTGTTTTGTACATAAAGTTTTATTGGCACACAACCACATACACTTGTTGAAGGCTGCTATGGCAGAATAAAATGGAAGGGATCTGGTCTGAAAAATCTAAAATATTTGTAACCTGGCCCTTTACAGAAAGCCTTTGCCAATCTCTGTCCACAGATAAAATGAGTTGGTAATCTTGGATGTTAGTTGCAAGTTCTTCATGGATAGCATCAAGTTGTTCTTCTATCCAACATTCTGTTAGATGCTATCAAGTTCCTTCTCAAACTAGACCAGTTAAAAATATTAATCATTTCAGTAAGTCTTCATAATATAAGACTATGTTGCTGTTGGGCAACAATTGTCTGTAAATCTCTTGTTTCTGCATGTCTAGGCTTCAATAGCCATATGCTCCAGAATTAGCTTTTCAGGAATGTTAATATGAACTTGGGGAAGAGACAGTGACTTGAAGAACACATTTATATTCCTGGATAGTACAAATAAAAGGCAATCTCTCCTCAGGGAGATATTCCAAGGCAATAGAAATAATTTCTCTCTCTCTCTCTGTATCCCCGGTACCCCCAGAGGGAGAGAAGGCAGGTTTGATAGCAACTGCATGTAAGATCAGAGATGCCTAACCCTAGGTTCCTCTCCTATAATGCACATCTACTCTCTGCAGGCAACACCTGGGGTCCAAGGAACATGGACCAAAGTGTTCTTCTTGCTGTAAATAATAAACTATCTAAATACATTTGGGCTCATTGACTCTGTAACAGCAGAATATGTGGGTATAAGCAAATAACCCAGTTGCTGCTACAGGATGACATCTTAGAAACTATTAGAGTGCTTGATAGTGCTTGAAATGGGTTTAAGTGCTTTTATTTCACTTCCTTGAGTGTACCGCGAAGTTCCTTGAAGGCAGGAGCCAAATCTTTTATCCTCTTTGTATCTTTCAAAGGGATTCTATGTACAGTAAATATTCAGTAATGTTTCGCTGCCCAAGCTAACGTCACCCAAACACCCTGTCCTGAAATGTTCTTCTTAATGATGCACAAAGATTTGGGACTATTTCAGAATTATGGTTTTCCTCTACCTGATTACCCTCAAGATTCTGGGAACTAAATCCACCATGGTCTTACTAAGAAGCAGGGGTAAATTTTGACTCATCAGGGTCCACCCAAAACACAGGCCCACTGTAGTGGCCAGGGCCTAAGGAAAATGACCCTCTCAGCCCTGTGGCTGGAAAGAATTGGCCATACACTTGGCTTCCAGATCAGGGGCAGAGGTTGCAACAGAGGGCCCTCCTTCCTGAGTGCTTGTTACAGAAAACAACGAATACAGGCCCTCTCTGGTGGTGCAGAGGGTTAAAGCACAGCACTATGAAGCAATCCACAGCCATTGTGGAGTAAGTTCAATCCCCGGCCAGGGAGGCGACCCACATGGTACAGCAGACCTTCCTGACCCAACATTCCTCCCCTCAGCTATGTATTTCAATACATTCACCTGTTCTGTTCCACACTCTATCTCTGTATTCCAGTTCTTGTATGTATAAATAATAAATGAGTCTTTTTTAAAAGATTTGAATTTCAGGTAAACATTTATATTTTTAATATAGCTATGTCCCAAATATTACATTACAGAAAAAAATGTCTAACTAAAATTCAGATTTAACTGGGTGCCCTGTATTACCTTAAGCAGACCTGTTCTTTGTCCTTCCTCCTCTGGAGCCCAGATTCCTCCCTCTAACTCAGCCTCACTCTCAAGATGTGGCCCCTTCTCTAAATCAGTCCCAGTGATAATGACTTTTCTGCTTCTGCTTTTTCTTCTCCTTAGAGCACCTCTCCTGATGGCAGGGATGTCTGGGGAATAGATAAAGCCTTCAGGAGACCTTCCTTGAGTTTCACTTCTCTTATGTTTGCAGGAGGCAAAATCATGTGATGAGCAGTGGGCTCACCTTTTGAATGATCTGGAAGTATTTTGATGCATTGGGATGCTTGATATTCTATTTGATTGCATTTTATTATTTAAAGCTGTCATTCTTAGAATTGTATATCGAGTCAGATCTAAAAATCCAGAAATATCTACCCCTGTGTATTAATGTAAGTGGAACTGGAAGCCAAGAGGAGGCAGAGGGTATGAAAGATTCAATTACCTCCTAGACGGGTGGTAATCCAAGCCCTCAACTTTAATCCTTAATAGATGCTTTTCCCATCGGCCTCCTTGCAGATGGTGTGCCAAATATATCTTGTCTACCTCTAGGGTAATGAGAAATTAGTTCAGTGATTTCTTTCTTTCTCACCCCATAGGCATGGCTTACATGGGGCTTAGTTCTGAGCTGCGGTGGAAAGTGGCCTGATAATTCAGTCCCCACAGAGGGCCCTGAAAGAGTGAACCCGGATCAGGCATCCCAGGTAGATTTGCAGGATAAATAAATGCCTCCCCAGGGATTTGCTAGATAACTCCCTGTCAGGGCTATCTGACAGAGATTTAAATGTAAATTATTGTCCTGACCTGGCAGGGATTTACAGGATGGGAACCCTCTGTGCTCACCTGAGAGATTTACACAGTCCCTCCATTTGCACCAGACTGTGGGGTTATCACTGTGTAACCCTCAGTACTGTGGACCGTGTTGGCCTCTGTCACCAGCCCTGGTCATAGGTCATGGCTATTAGCATCCTGCTGCCTGCACAACCTTCTTCCCTGCCCTTGACTTCCAACTCTGAGTGAGGGGAGACTAGAATCCCCCCTACAGCATAGTAACAGGGAAGTCCTGCCTTATTCCCCTTCTTCCTTTTTGCACTCCGCTTAGTGTTTCCTGCTTTTCCCTCAGAATATAACAGAGGCCATTTCTGTCACCTCCTTTCCTGCTTTTTCCCTCTCACAGATAGACTGACTGTCTTCTTCGGGTGCCTTTGTCCAGCCCTTTGTTTCCTGAGGCCCCTTTCTCCATAACAGGCTCAGGTCTGAATTTGAGATTCTGAAGGGAAGCCAGACACCCTCAGCAAAATCCTGTGGAGGAGAGTGTTAAAAATCAGAGTTCTGGATTATACGCCACAACTCCTGCATCAGAATCTCTATTTCTGGGGCCCCCAAACCATGTTCTCCCAATCATCCTTAAGCACATGAAGTGAGGGAAATAATACCCAGGATTAGTTGGGAGTGAGGTGGGCCTGCCTTCCCTCCTGGATTTCAGGGGGCTCAGTTTCTCCCTTGGTTTAATGGAGTCTCTCTCTAGAACCCTCATGTCTTTGAGGGTATTTTGAGGTTAAAAGTAAGAATCTGGGCTGCAATGGGACACAGATTTATCCCAAGAAAGGACATGGCCGGAAAAGTAACCCAGCTGATGAATATTCATTCTGGCCGTGTGGTCAGTTTTGATCACTCAGATCAACTCAAGGCATTCTGTTTAAACCTTTGTGAGAGCAAGAAGCAGGTTCTGGGAATAAGGAGGTGGGAAGAAGATAGAGGTTAAAACGAATTGACAGGCAATAGGATTAGAACTCTTGCTCAATCCTGATCTTGCAAGTAACTAACAGTGGCCTGAAATTAAAGAATTAAACCATGAAGCCTCCCTTGACAACTGATCTGATAGGCCCAGGCATGAATTCCAGGGACACTGTTGTCAGGCAGAGGCAGGGGAGAGCTGAGATAAGGGCCATTAGGATGAATGGCGTGGAGGAGGTGGTGAAGGCCTGACTCTTCCTTTGCCGTCCACTAAGAGGCCACACCATATGCTAACATAGTACTGGCTGCAGATCCATTGCCAGGACTTATATTCACCTCCAGTGGCACTTTCTTCCAACATCAAATTATGACTTTAAAATGGAACCAAAAAAATGAAAAAGGGAGGAAGATAATGAAACATAAGCCAACTGTGGCAGCTGGTGAATTTCTGATGATTATACTTTCTTATAGCATTTCATTCCTATTCCCTCATGTTACACAGTAGCTGGAGGAGGAAAAGAAAACAAAAACAGCAAGAAACAACTCCAAAGGGTTCAAGGAAACAATATCAAATACAATTTAATGACATTTTTCATGGGAGACAAGGTAGAGATAAAGTAGCATTCTGAGTTTACCTCTTGTTGCCTAGAACATCATAAGAAAGCCTAGAAAAGTACAATACATCAATGCAGGTTAAATAAAGTGATTCTCAGTTTCTTTTTTTTTTTCTTAGCTCAATACACTAAAAAAGGTTTAAAAAGGTGGGAAGAGGGGAGTATTTATATTACAGTACTCGAAGGTAAAATATTTTCATACAACATTGGAAAAGACAAACTCTCATCCACATGGCTAACCCAAGTGATAATCAGATTTGGGAGGAGAAAAAAAAATCAATGCTTATCTACAACAGTTTTCTTGGATCTCTTTTCAGTGAGGTTTTTCTTAGCTGGTCATTCTCAGGCTAAAACAATGGAGAACTCACCATCTCTTTAAGGAAAATTGCAGGACAAATAATCTGAAAGTCTTAACTGTGGGAGACTCTACTCTTGATTTTATTTGTTGCTGAACTTAAAGCAGCATTCTTTGATGTCCAGCCACAATTCCTTCCCCCTCCATCAGACATTGTATTCAAATGGAAGCTTCCAGAAGCTTCAAGTGTTCAAGTGCTGGGCTCTGAGTTATGGATTCACTGCTGACCTTGGAGACTGCCCATGTCTCGGCACTCAGCCTGGAGTTTCATGAGTTTGTTCTAGAGGGAACCATTTAGAATGTTGGTCCTGGTCAGGTATGGACTGTCAACACAGTCCTTATTTTGGGGTTGTGATGAAGTCAAGTAGGAAAGTAAGGCTCCGGGTTTCATTCTTCACGACCATCTCTTGACTCATTTCCTTCTATGTCCCACAGCTTTGAGCCATGTTGGGATCCCACTTTTGCAATCCCACTTTTTATGTGATATTTGAAACCACTGCTCATTATGCCTACTTAGGTGTTGGATAAACAAAGTAAAATGTTTCCGTAGATTAGGTTTTGGCCACTCTATGGAGCTAAGAACAATAACTCATAACAACAAGTGGCAGGAGAGGCCAGTTGTGTAGCATTGGTTAGACTTTTTGAATTGGCATTGCCAATGGCCTGGTTTTGTGCAGTCACAATTAACCATGAAAGCATTAGGTGGGACTAATTAACCATGAAAGCATTAGTTAGGACTTCTTGCAGTAATGGCAATAGAGGAGAGCCTGGATGCTCTCGAAGCTCTTTAGAGGCCCAGAGCTATTCTCCAAGCAGTTTGTGTTTTCCCAGTAATTTCTGGCTGGCATGGCTGTCGTCTATGCCCTGTCATTGTGGCCTCCAGCTCCTTCCAAAGTCCTCTCTCCTACCCTGCGTACACTAGCGATGATCAGACAGGGTGTGCTAACACATGTTCAACAACTAGCACCTTGAGAGGAAAAAGCCTGACCTAAAGTGTTTGCTAATTTCCACAGTATAAATACTACCACCACAGCTTATTTCAGGCTATTACCTTGCTGTCACTAAATGTGGGGTTGGGAGACATGCTGTGTAGCACCTCGTTATATAGTATGTTCATTACATACAGATGTGATGGATGCTAATAACCTTGAGAGCACATACATTGAAAAAAGTAGTGAAACAACTCAAAAGTGATATGTTTTGAGTATTATCTTATTTTCAATATAACTTATTTGTAACCATATGTAATGTAATTTTTAATAATGGGCTGTGCTTGGCAAAAATTCTTAAAAAAGACTGACCGGTAAGGAAATCAGCTCTAGCATATATGTCTGTCTTGGGCTGGGAAAGGAGGGGAAAAAGACAAACAAAAGAGAAATTTCAGTAATTAAATACTAAACGGCTTCTGTGTCATTTGGCTTTATGACTGGGTCTTTCTGAGCCTTGAGTCCCTGAATTCACAGAAATGACATAGTTCATATTGGTCACAAACCAGGACTTTGGATATGGCCCAGATCTACCATTTGTTAGCTGTGTGATTTTAAGCAAGTGTCTTAACCTTTCTTAGCTGTTTCTCATGTTTACAACAATAGTGCCTGCTTTATAACGTTGTTATGGGATTAATGGGATGATAGAATCAAGATGTGTGGTCCACTGGGTCACATAGTAAACCCTCAATGAATGCTAGCCATGAGTGCTGTGTTCGTTAACCTGATCCATGAAGCTAGAGGTAGTGGTGGGTTCTCTTCTATTTATAAGTCCATGCAGAGACTGGTTGTTAAAGAGGATCTCTTAGTGTAGTCCTTCATTTCAGCATGAAGTGTTCAGTCTTGAGGACAGCATTGGCCTTCTCTCCACAACTCCTAAAAAAAACATACTTATGGCTGAAGTTCAAATACTGTTAACTAACTCATCTATTGCTGTTAAGCTTTGCTGTCTCCCTAGGCCTACTTTTAAAATGCAAATAGTCCTTAGAGGTTGAGCTTAATCACCACCTAGGTGTGAAGGGAGCAAGTAGATCTCAGGCCTCTAGGTAGGTCCTGAAAATGAGATTTCTTATTCTGGTGGGAGTTGAGAATGGGGCCTGAGGGCATGGATGACTAAGTGTTGGGTCCCTCTCTCCCTCTCACAGTTCCTCTACTTTCAATCAAACCCACTTAGCCTCTCTCTGTTTCCCCAAGTATCCAGACCCACAGTCCTTTAATGAGATGGAAACTTTGAAGATTATTTTGGATTTCTCTTCCTGCTGCAAGAATACAAATTAGCCATGGTCCCAGCACCTGATGTGTGACCTTGGGATGTCATTTCATGTGTCTCAGCATCTACTTTTATGGACACTGAAACACTTGATGAGGATTAACCTGAGACCCAGCCCTTTGTGAACTAGGAGGCTCAACAGAGCACACTTTCTTGTTACCATCTTCTATCCCCTATAGAGTTTTTAGTTTGTTCCTTTTTCTTCAATTCTTCACATGTGTGAAGAGGAAGCACCATAGGTTGAAGAAAAAAAAATAAATAAAACCAACACATTTCTACCCTTTATTCTAAAGGTCTAGGAACCAAAAATACCATGTTTCATCTGGGATCACTTATTCCTGTTAATCTTCTATACAGTAATAAGAGCCTGACGTTATTCCTGGTTCATTCAGCTCAGGTAACTGGCACACCAAGAAAGCAGAGGTGATGTTTGCGTGCACTTTGTGGCCAGGAAAAGTAATTGTGTTCTTATTGTTTGTTTTGTTTTGTTTATTTGTTTACCTGGGGCCCCTGTTATGCTACAGAAATGTTTTCAGAGTGGCTGAGCATCAGGAACCTGGAAAGGAGCTGTGACTTTTCCCAGAGAGATAAGTCTGACAGCCAAAGAGGTCTGACATTCTGGGGGAGCTCCTGGGTGCCAAGGAAGGAGCTAAGTGATCCAGCATCTCTCGACACTGGCCAACCAGCCACAGCTGTGTCCCGGGTGGTCCATGTGAGTGCAGAAGGTAGCTGGTGCCCTGGTGGGATGTTCTGGCACAACAAGCAGGTTACAAGGCTGTGCGGGGTCTTCAGACCTGACATTTGTCTCAGTTGCTGACACAATGTTTACTGCCCCCTTAGGCCTTTAACAGAAGGAACCTTGGTAGGAGGTCCCAGCCACCACTGTGTGGCCAGAGGGGGCTGCCTAGTAAATCTCCTATCAACTAGCACCGACCTCCCTGTGCTGGGAGTGTGAGCTGACAGGATGGCGGCTGGAAGATCACTGGGTTGTTGGGGGAAGGGTACTTTATTTCAGCATTTTTCCCCCCTTTGGGTGGAGAAAAGATGGCTGATGGCCAGCCAGGGCAATCTGCCTGAAGCTAAGTACTCACTGGGAAGCTTGCCAGGATGCAGCTGAGATGACTGAGGTGAGGGAGCAGGACATAGAGAGGAATGTCTCGGTGTTGAAAGGCCTGCTCAGTTCTTGTGAACATTCTGTGGGGGTTGGGTGCCCTACTTGCAAGGACTGGAGAGTGATCAGGGAAAAACCAAAACCAACCAACAAAATGACAAAGAGGAGGAAGAGTTACAGGCATCCAATTTTGGACAATAAAGAGACAGTAGAGACTGAACTTGCTTCCTTTCTTTAAGCATTTGAGAGACTTCTACAAGAAGACCTTGAACTTTTTGACAGTCAAGTAAGAGAATGCAGTATGTAGAGGAGTGATGGGGATTTTCCCGGTTTTTCAAACATTTACACTGCAAACAGGATGCTGAGTATGTACTTGACCAGCGATAATGTTTATGTGCAGAATGGGACCCTGGGAGCATTTTAAGAAAGGAAAGGACTCCCAGGTTGCTGAGCACCGGGTCCAGGCTCTGGGTCACAGGTCCCAGGCACAGCCCCAGAGCTCCTTGAGTTTGACGTCGTCTCTTCTGTTTAGGAGCTTGATAGAACAAAGCAGGTTCTTTGCAGGATACTGAAGTGCTCCAGCCTGGTGAGAGGATTGCCATAACGTGATAAAAAGACTGAGGAGATAATGCCCTCTCAAAGGTGGGAGATTAGTTTCCTCCTTTGTTACTTCAGTTGCCTTTTTTGTCCATACCTGGCTTTTTTTTTTTTTTTTCTGCTACATGCTCAATGGAGGATAAAAAGGGTTTTCAGGAAAGCACCAAAAACTTGAGGATTTGATTCCAGAGCAGGGAAAGATGTCACAGGCAGCCTTCCAAAGAGGCGTCAACATCTGCCCACTTCCCCCAAGCCTGGGTTCAATCCGAGGACTCAGTGTGATGCAATGCCAGCCCAGCGTCCTGCCCTTCAGAAGAGTCCATCTCCTCGTGTCCCAGTGGCTTAGCTCTGGCCCTGAGGGTCCCAGGAAGGTGTCAGGGTTGTCTCTGGCTGGTCTGAAATATATTTCCAATCTGGCCAATATTTCCAATTCTCCAAATTGCTGTCCTCAGGGTCGCCTTGCTCTGAAATAGACTGAAAAGAGAAGGAAGAAAGGGTGTGGACACTAAGTCCCCTCCCACCTGCAACTGTCTACTTGATCTCAGGGGCTTTTGTCCCTGTTGGAAGCAGTGGAGAAGGGAAGTGAGAGTGGCGGGAAATACCCATTCTGATGGACTCTGATTTTAAAAGTTCTACAAAACTATACCAACAAATCAGGACAAACATCACACTGGGATCTTGAATCACAGGATGTTTACATAATACAATGTTCATGGCTGACACATACTAAATACCACAAAGTACCTGAGACAAAAAAAGAAAGGAGGGAAGTTGGGAGAATAAAAAGGAGTTTGAATCCTGGCATTCGGAGACCCGAGCAACACAGGCAGAGTGACTTGACGGAGAGGTGGCCGCATGAGTGTCCAGCGACCACTTGCTTCACATCTCAGCCTCGGAGGAGCAGACCTCCGTCGCGGTTATAGCGATTCCGATGGCAAGGCTGCCGTTGTCAGAGAAGAGCTGGGCCAGCGAGGTGTTGAGGACGAGGCAGTCCCCGTCAGTGATCACTGAGTCCACGCACTCAAGGACAGACCGGGGGGTGGCCTCCCACTTGAGGCGACGATGGTTTCTGTTGAGCTCCAGGCGATAGGTGAAGCAGTCAGCCTGGGTGGGGGTCCCGATCAGCATCATGGTGGCAAAGAACTGAGGGTGCCCTTCATGCCTCTCCTGTTTCCTAAGCACCAGCAGAAAGTGGTGGCCGAGGCAGGAGTGCATGATGATCCAGTCGGCCGGTGCAGGGAGGTGCATGTCCGTGGCCAGGAAGACTATCTCAGCTCCCTGGAGGATGTCAACCCTGTGCATCTGGCGCAGGTGGGGCACTACCACCTCCAGGTGGCCTTCCCACTGGCATGAGAACAAGGGACATAGGCAGGGTGTCACCTGGGAGGCATGCAGCCCCGCCTCCTGGTGGTGGAGGTGGTGGGGGTGGCCGTGGTGGTGGCGGTGGTGGGCGGGGCGCTGGTGGCGGTGGTGGTGTGTGAGGTGGTGAGGGGTGAAGCCCCCTTGCTCTGGTGCATTCTGAGTGACTGCTCGGCGGCTGGACACATACTGCAGGAGAAGAGAAGAATGTTAGTAGATAGGAGGCCAGTTTGAGACCAGCTGAGACTTCCCCTGTGTCCAGAATGTTATTTCCTATCAAAGTGACAGGACCATTTTATTTTCTCATCAGTATGAGGATTCCAGTTTCTCCACATCCTTGCCAACACTTGTTATTATCTGTTTTGACAAATATTTTTGAGACAAAATTCATGGTTGTGAATGTTTCACCAAATTTAGATGCTGAAACATAGTTAAGAATTCTGTCATTCTATTTCAGTATAGAATCTATGTGATTATAAATAGAAGCTCTTTTGAAAGGTTCTTCCTATTTGAAAAGAGATTTTCCAAATCTAATTTACATTAAAAGATAAAACAAGGGACACAGTTGGTGCCTTGAATAGTTGAGATTTTGAAAACTCAGTCCAGAAAATGCAATATTCATTGCCTTTCTGGTTCTTTAATAAGAATCTCAAATAGGCAATTTTGCCCTCAAATAGCATGCATTATGATGATCATTAGTCAGAGAACACAAAAAAAAATCAATTTTTTTTTGCCTTTTTAATATTGTTGATATCTTGTGTAGATGGTAGAGGTCAACAGATTTTAACCCCTCTTTTACCATTACTATTATTTTTAAAATAACATTTCAGTAAAATGCTTATTTGTCCTCCCAGTCCTTCTAAGGATTGTGGTGTTTGGGGTGCCTTTCTCCTAGGGCCGAAGGCATCTAGAGGGATGCAGAATTGAGTGTGTACAGCCTGTGGCACAGTCTCCAGGGATGAGCCTCAATTGTGACCCCTGGGAGTTTGCCCTGCCAGGCACTTTTGCCTTGTTTCACTCTCACTGCTCAGAAGCAGCTTCACAGGGCTCATCCCAGGAATCCTACACTCTGAGAATCTCCTGATCTTTCGTCCTTTAGTTCCTCATGACACTGTGCCCACACATGTCCTCAAAAGCACCAGCCGCCATGATAGCAACTTCTGATTGAACATTTATTGAGCAGCGGCAATAGCCAGAACCTGTGTGTGCTAGGGGTATAGCCTTGAGCAAAATAAACACATTTCTTAGTGTGGGTGGCACAGACATTGGTATGCTTATAATTAATTCTGGCTTTGACAAGGATCCTCTGTGTGACATGAAGACTATGATTTATATTTTTCAGTTGAAGAAACAGGCTTCTGTAGTAACATGCCTGAGGTTACAAAGCTGGTAAATAAAAGACAAGGATTCATTTTCATGCCTCCTGACTTAACACAGAAGGTATCCCCCACCCCCAAAGTTATCCCCACTCCAGCATCCTCCTCCATTTCTTCAGTTCTTTTTTTTTCTTTTCTTTTCTTTAATTAGTCTGTAGAATCTAGGCTGTGCGATGGAGAGAGCCACAATGCAGGGCGTTCTCTGTGACAGCCATTCTCCTCCTGCCCTAGCTTTCCAAGCCATATCACGTCTTAGATGCTTTTGGGCATCCTTTCTGCCATTGGGCTCATTCCTAGTATACAGAGGGTGAGGCCCAAGGTCTTTCTGATCACCACCTACCATTGCTCCCAGAGTTTCATCTTCTTGGACTCAGAGTGTGTTTACAGCAGATACCTGGCTAGACTCCTTTTTACTTTTATTTATTTATTTATTTTTTAAAGATTTATTTATTTATTCATACAGAACTGGGGTACAGGCCAGAGATGCAGAGGGTGAGAGGCTTCACCAGAGACAGAGTGGGGAGCAGAACAGGCAGATCGACGAAGTACACTGCTGAGGGGAGCAGTGGGCGGGTCAGGAGAGGTCTGCCGTGCCATGTGGTCACCTCCGGGGAAGGCGGGAATCGAACTCATGCAGAAGTGGCTTTAGCTTCCTAGTGCAGTGCTTTAACCCGCTGTGCCACCAGGGAGGGCCTTACTTTTATTTTTTTAAAGATTTATTTATTTATTCATACAGAACTGGGGTACAGGCCAGTGGTGCAGGGGTAGTGAGAAGCTTCACCAGAGAGAGAAAGGGGAGCAGAAAAGGCAGATTGATGAAGTACACTGCTGAGGGGAGCAGCGGGCAAGACAGGAGAGGTCTGCTGCGCCATGTGGGTCAACTCCTGGGTCGGGGATCAAACTTTCACTGAAGTGGCTACGACCAGCTTGCAATGCTGTGTCCTAACCCACTGCATCACTAGGGAGGGCCCTAGACTTCCTTCCTTTACAGCATGTGGGGTACACACTTGTACCCTGCATGCCCCCACGGAGTGAGCTGGGATTGTCACCTGTGGTGGAGGGGACTTCGAGGCAAGCTCAGCTCTCTATTGCTCCAGTTTCTGTTCTCCACCCAACCCCCAAGGAGGGATCTAGCCACAGACCTGGGGTGTGGGCTACTGGGACCCTTCCAGGAGTTTCTGCCTTCATCCTGGATGATAACTACAAGGCATCCCCACCAGAGCCACCTGCCCCAAGGGGAACAGTGTCTTCAATGCTGAAGAAGCAGGCTGTGTTTCAGAGTTGTGCTAGTGATCAGCCTGATTTCACAATCCTTGCATTAACAATGGGGAGGGAACTAACTTATGTAGCATTTGCATTGCATTGGGCACTGTGGGAAGTAGATCGTTCTTCCTCCTGCATCATTATTTCATTTAGTTTTTCACAATTTCCTTATTTGAAAGATAATATTAAATCTGACTATCTCCCCCTTTTCTGCTTGTGGCTTGTACTATTTAGGCAATGGATGTGCATTGGGGGAGAGGGTCCTCTCATCCCTTGGGTGACTCACAGACTTGGAATCATGATGGAGTCTGTGACTCCTGGGCTTATTGTACAACCTGACACTCAGAGAAGTTGAGTTATTTGCCCAGTGTCACGTAGCTCTTAGTGATGCAGCTGGGTATGGAGCCCAGCTCAGTCAGAAGTGACATAGCTCATAGGCTGGGAAGATGACAGGCTCACTGTCATCCTCCTCTGGTGTGTTTCATTGTTTGCTTGTCCGGCAACCTTGATTAAGTTTCCTCTTCAGCAAAATATCTCAAATCCAATTAAAATTCTGTTGAGCTGCTTTAATACTATATCAAGTATTGTATCAAAAGTGCATTGTTATTTAGATTTGATTTTGGGGTGAAGAGTTTTGCAGCCTTCTGCTGTAGTCTACCCTCCTCTGTCCTGGGCAGCTGACCTTCACCCCTGAGAGCACGCAGGATGCAGCATAGTCACCGCAGGAACCCGGAGACCCCAACACTCACTTGGCATTCTGTCCCAATGCTGGTTCACAATGACAGAGCATCCTCACATTCCCATCCAGAGATGTGAAATGAGAGTTAGACACACCTTGACCTACCTTCTTCCCCATACCAGTCTCCTGTCTGTGCCTTCTACTGGCTAATTCCAGTTAAAGACTAAAGAGAGAAGTGCCCAGAAAGGTACTCAGCATGGCGTGACTCCCTTTGAAAATGGTGCTGAATGGGACGAATATGTGATTAGGGAGTGTCCACGGGACACAGTTATCTTAATACCTTCTTCTGTAATGTTCACTGACCTGGCTGGATCTCTGAGGCTGAGCCCTGATGAAGTTGATGGGGGGAGAGGGATAAATACACCCATATTCATTGAGCCATCTGACAAAAATGTATATACCATCTAACGTGTGCAAGGGGTTGAGAATACTGAACGAAGTAAGATCTTTTCTCCGGCCTCAGTAACATACTATGACTACATACAAACTATAAAATGCAAAATGCAGGATGCTCTGGGGTTCTGAGCACAAAGTGGGGGAGGCAGCTATTCTAGCCCCTGTGAAGTTCTGTGATGAACACTAGGCAAAGCCTGAAGGATGAAAATTTTTTTGAAGGGTGAAATTTTTAACAAAACTTGCAAGACTTGCTGATGGTGTGAATAGCAGACTTGAAGGGGCTAGGTCTGAAAATACATGGGTGTTTAAGAAATGAAACATTCAAGTGGCTGGTGGATGCAGAAGCTGGTACATTGGAGAAGAGGTTGACCTTGCTGTTGTGGAGAGCAGCTGAGCCATACAGACCAAGTCTTGAAGCCAAACTAGGGTGCCAAGGTGGTACCTAATGCTCAGTGCAAGTCAGTAAGAGGGCCCAACGGACACTGGCTCCTGTTTTAGGGAGTTCCTACAGGCATCAGTATGACCCCAAACCCACCAGCCAAGTCTAAGCTGGCTTTCAAGATGGGGTCAGCAGCAAGAGTCCCCACCAGTGTCCAGTCACTGGGCTCTAGGTCCTTCCTCCTACACACTCTCAGTGCTTCCTTTTGTCTTCACTTTCCACCAGTCTTTTCACTTTTTCATTGCAGCGGGAGTAACACTGGTCAAGGCTGTATTATAATCTGAAGAGAATAAAGCACCATGTACTCATGAGACTGGTGTTCCCTGCTGTGTCCCGCCAAGGCCCTGAAAAGCACTGACTTAAGTCTTTATTTCTCTCTGTTCCATCTTCTCATGCAAAATACGTTTCAACTTTGGCTGAGGGAGGTCACAGGGCTGTTGGCAGGGAGAAGGGATACTTTTAATTGGCAGAATGCTAATCGTGTTAGAAAATGAATTCTGATCTTCCCATCTAATACAGTGGATGTGTGAGTAATTACTTTCCTTCCCTAAACTGTTAATGCAACATTAGTGATTACACTAATTAAAACTAATGAACTCTTACAGACTGATAAACCCTTCAGTCACTCAGCGGACGCCTTTCTTTCCACTGGCTGTATTTAACTTTCCATTTGGAAGAGAGATCTTGAGTTAACCTTTAGAATAATGCACAAAATCGGGTTTAGAAATGCTAGGCTTTATGGACTGGGTATAATTCCTTCTCCCACATTAGTGAGACCATTTCCACTGAGGGTGTAATTGAATTTAAAAACCGCCTGCCTTAATTCAATCATCCACTCTGCCATGGTTGGTAACGGCCACTTCTCCAAATCCTGGGGTCCAAAGATAGAACCTATCTTGGGAAAATCATCACTTAGAAGATGGCCTTATCCTTCTGCCTGCCATGCTGACATATTTCAGCTAAAGGAAGGTTTGCA